CCTGGACGAAGAAAGTCCCCTAACTAAGCCATGTTTCTGCATTAAAATTCTTTCATACATGCTGATGACTATTCCAAAATGCAAAAATCCGCTCAGGGCGTTATCACACTGGCACTGTTAACACCTACACCGAGACATCCACAAAACTGCTTAGCCACTTTAGCCATAAAAATATAACACCTGCTTATCTCGAATGCCATCCGAGCACCCAGAACACACCCACCATCCTCCCCAAAAAAGGAAAGCCGCAAGCCCAACGGCAACCGAAAAACATTTCTCAAAACGAGAGGGAAAATTTGGGGGAAGTAGTCCTAGGTAGTAGCTACTGACCTAACTCCCCGGAAAATGCTTGAGCCAACAAATACCGTAAAAACACTTATACGGAATTCCTCAACGCCTGGTAAACCAGGGCAGGGGCGTAAAATCCACCCCTTGCTGCCAAGCACCAAGTTCAGATCCTGGAACCAGGACTAAACGACAAAAAAAATGAAACACTCGAGAGGATAAAAAGCAAACCAAACAAAACGAAAACCAAACCGAAAGTTTTGAAAGTCGCAGCCAAGTGCCGACGGCAAAAAGTGGCAATGGAGACGTTGCGTTTTGCCTGAAATTCAGACCCCAATCCCCCGGAAGTCTTTGGAGGCATTTAACGGATTTTCTCCGGGAGGCGTTAGTCGTTTTACATGCATTATCCTGACCAAAAACCAAATGAAACGCTGATGCCAAAAAAAGTGTTGACATTAAAATAATAATTTTAATTGCCTCGAATAACACAGAAGGGTCTATTGTTCGACCCTTGGTCCAGGATGTCGGGGCATGAGTGGGGTCTATTTAAACACAAAGGGTAATTAACATTTTTCTTTTCGGCCCGGTCCTGGCTATGTCCTGGGATAAGCAGTATGTTTAGTCCTGACCAAAGTCAAATGAGCAAATAAAAAAATCACACACACAAAAAAAAAGGTCTCTTCGCACACATTACGAGGGTTCGTGTGTGGCAGTTCCTTTTTTGCGGTTTTCGCATTTGGTTTAACTTGACTGGTAAGTACCCGTCCTATTCTTGGGTCTTGCCCTCCAGGATTCTGGATTCTGGGCAAACCAGGATTTCAACACCTTCAACAAAGCGTGAATTAAGTGCTCGAGATTTTCTGCACTTAATACAACACACATTTACAGCTGCCACATGTTGCATGACTCCTGGCGCCCCACCATACCCATACCCATACATATACATAGGATGGTCCCTATGTATCTCCACTGCCCTGCCCCTGATCACGTTAATTGCGCAATTAGCTGGTTTTGTGGAACATCTGTGCAACTGTGTCGCGTCTCATTAAGTCCGATCTGACTGCTCAAATACTGAGTGGCATGCCGCGGCACGGACGATGGACAGATGGACAGAGAAATTTTTAATTGCATTTAATTAACAATAATTTAACGAAAAGCACTAAAAATGAGAAATAAAATTAGTTGAATTAAAAGGCAAAGAAATTCTTGATCTGTGAGTGATGTGCCAAAATAAGATCTTGCTTTACAAATTCAGATTCTGAGACAGTTTACCGTCGGAAAAAAGTATCTTTTAGAATGACATTATTTCTAACATGATCCCTGAGGTTATCTGGTCTCTTTTGAAATTAAATTTATTCATTCTAAACTCCGCGATGATATGATACTACTTGGCATTACAAATGCACTCCATTGCCAGCATAATTACCTAAGCACGACAGCCTTACATTATTCTTATCGTCTATCTAGCATCTTTGACAATCCATCCATCAAGCATGATTGAGCCAAAGAACAACCCCAAATTGTGTTTTCCGACACTTCATTTCCAGAATTTCGATACACGCAATGGTAGTGCGGTAAAGTATTGTTTTTAATTGCTAATTGAGCAAAATACTTTATGGAATGAAATTAATTATAGTTTCATGTTTTTGGGCCACAAAAAAATGCGACTTACGTACGTACGTACTTCATCACTTATTTCTAGTTTCACATTGTTCACGCAAAAGCATAAATTGTTTAATTACTAATTAAGAATAGGAAACGGCCAACAAACGATAAACCTAATGAATTGGAAGTACTAGAAGGCGAATCGAAGGCAGTTGACATTATTTTCAGTTCTAGCGTGTGACAATTCGCATTAATTACAAGAAATGCTCCAAAAAATAAGCCATTAAAATGGTTAGGAGGAGAGTTCGGTGGCAGGGTCTGAAATTGCGAAATGAAAGTGCGCTGCGCTGCCGGAGATCCCTCGGATTTTGTTTCCCCTCCCCACATAATATTTAGCGTGTTTTAGCCCGATGTTGCTACTTGGACACTTGTGACATTTTCTTAATTGAAATGATGCGAGTTCGTTGATAAAATTTCGTTGCCTCCTATATGGTATGTGGCATGTGTGTCTGTGACTCCTCCTCCTCCGCTCGGACACTCTTATTGCACGTTTTGTTGATGGTTATTATTACTCTTCATTATTGTTCATTATTAAATGAGCCTGCATCTCTACGTCTTCGTCTCTGTCGCCAAGTAGTACGAGTAAATGTGCGTGCCTGGAGCTTTGTGTAGGCTTTGTGGCATGTGCGGCATGCAATATCTCATTTTGGTGGCTCTCCACGAAAAGTGATCCAATCCTAGCGATATCATCACAGAAAATGATCTATTATACTGAATTAAATAGGAGGATATTAGACTAAAAGATACTCAACGGATAAGATAACAAAAATTATATAAAACTATTACTAGCAATTGGGAAATGAGTATAGTTTCTAAATTCTACAATAGCTTTCCTTTGATTTCACCTTTATGTTCAACATTTTCAATAATTATTTTTTTATATTTTCTTTGAGAAGCCATTACCATTACTTCCTGCACTTTCTATGCCCAGTCTCTGTGTGTTGTGGCAATAAAATTGCATTTTATGTTGGCACAAGTTGCAAATTGGCCACACATCAAAAACAGAATGCGAAATCCTTTCAAGATGTCCGCCCCGCCCACAGATGTGCCTTGCACTTCAATGCCTTTGCAGGGCATAATTATTACTTTAATTATGTTTAATTAAAACGCCCGCCCACCGAGCTGGGCGTGGTCAGGCAGCTGTCCAAAATACACGCCACATAATTAAGCGTTAATTTTTTTTTTGCTTTTGCAAATCTTTGAAAATTTTTTACGATTTGGCTACGTAAAGTGACAACGTGACGCTATCTTTGAGGGGGAAATCAGAAGGGGGACAGTTGCATTTCGCCGATGGCTTTTGGTTATTTTTAATGCCAAGTGGTGTGTTGTTGCCTGTTGGCTGATTGTCGGCAGGCGGCTTGCCACTTTTCCGCTTCTTGTGCCGCTGCATTTTTATGCGTTCGTCATCCGTTTGTCATAAAAAAAACCGTGGAACAGCAACAACATTTAATTTATAATTTAATATCTAATCATTTCTTCTTTTTTTTCACAGCCACTTGTGCATTAAAAGTTGTCGCAACGCAACTTTAATGGATTTCTCTGATTTGTCTGAAGATGCCAATCAAAATTATAGAAATCCTTTCGACAACTTAATGAGCCACGTTTCACCATCAAAAGAAAACGAGATACTTACTTAATTTTAAATATTTTTTTAGTATAAGCCTAAGAGTAGTTTAGCCGACGGCTTTGAGTATTTAAAATTATAAAGAAAAGATTTTCAAGCTAAACTAAAAACTCATTAGGCTAAAATATGCACCCGCCGAATATCATTCTAGACTTCTGTCGATTGCAATTATGTGTGTGCCTTTGAGCCAAGTTAATTCCCGCTAAATAATTGCCCGCGATAACGTGGAGAACAAGTTGGCAGCAGGAGAACTAGCCAAGTGAACTCTGCCTGGCAACGACAATGAAACTAACAACAAAGAGACTAAATTCTGTATTAATTTGCAATTAATGCAGCTAATTATATTTAATTAAATGAGCGAGCCACGCTAACAATGAACTGCATAGATACCAGCCGGAGGAGGAGGAGGCACGATCGGTGGGTGGACTGGAGTGGTGCAAGGGGGAGAGTATTCTCTGGGTCAAGGGACAAGAGGGAGGGGATCAAGTGGAACTTGGGCACTGGGAAAAAAATGTAGCTCGCAGGTTGGTCCGGCTTTGAAATGAAACTGATTATTACAATTGTTGTTACGCCTGCTGCTGCTACTGTTGTCCGCTGCCGTTTATTGTATCTCACAGATACGTTTATCTGTTTTTTTTTTTTTTTTTTACAAAAATGACACTGAGCCACCGCGAGTCAATTGTAATACGTTTTAGTAATTTTTTCGTGGGGTGGCATCATTTGCAAGGCTTAGCACATTAAACTATTTATGTGTAGAGTTTCATTCTGATTTCAGATCGTTTGATGAGGCTCATTGTTGCAAATTGCCACCACAGCCGCCGTCCGCTGTATTATTAGTTTGTTTATGGCTATTTATTATATTTGATTTTATTATTAGAACGTCGCAACTATTTTCGAGTAGCCAGCACAAAAATTGTAGCTCATGCACATGCTCATGCCGGGGCACCGTCGTCGTTCTCATGCCACAACGATAATGGTGATGGTGGTGGTGGTGATGCTGATAAAATTAACGTTAATTAAAGTTATTAACCGCCTGCAGCGAAATCGCATCAATTTATTGGTTTTTGCATTTTACCATGTCAGGGTTGAGATTTACATAAAAAATGCATTTGCTTGATTTTCTAAGCCATAGTTTCAAGTGAGTCAAGTGCGTGTGAAGCTTAAAAGGTTTGTTACTTTTTTACGAAGATCTTCACTTTGCAATTTTGTCATAAATCTTTATTAAAGGCAAATAAAAAATAAGTTTTTATCAAAGTTTAAATAAAATTAATTCACTTTAATTAATAAAAACTAATCAAATTTCATTAGTAAGTCAAGATTTTCTAAGAATTCTGTTCTGAACTTGAATGAATATATTAAATATTATATTCAATTGAAATGTTCCTAAAATGTATGCTAAATAATAGTTATTATAAAATTTATTTACCGTTTTTTCAGCACAATGTTAGTAATTATTTGATTTCCTTTTTGAGTTTCTTGATTAATTTTAATTAGGCTTAACTTTAATGCATCCAAGTTTTTAACACTTTTCTGTTTTTCTTTAAATTATTTTTCCTTTATCACTTGCACTTTGCCAATCGAAAGTATTCTTGAGATTTCCAATCACTGAGTGTATCTACGAGTTTCTTATCAACGAGTCACAAAGCACAGATTCAGATTCAGATGCAGATACAGATACAGATACCAGATGATCGCGTCGCGCGTAAAGTGAAAAAATCTCGACTTTCGAATTTTGGAATCTAACAATTGTCCCAGCGACGCCTGCCTTCCTGCTGTTGCAGATGCAGTTGCAGTGGCAATTGCAATTGCAGCTGCTAAGTGTCGCCGATAATATTTCTTGGCACACGCCGGCAGTGGAATGCAGCGAGCGTGTGTGTGCGGGTACGTCGGCTGCGCGTGTGTGAGTGAGTTTGTTTGGCGGTTTTAGTGCCTTTAGTGTTTGTTTGTTTGTTTTTGGCTTGTACGCGGTCCGGTTCGGATCCAGCCGTCGTATGTTCAGGCGCAGCGTCGTTCGAAGACTGAATGAACGCGTGGCGCACAAGCGGCGCTTGGACCCCCAGCAATCATCAGCATAAGTAGCAGGCTTCTCACAGATACACCAACACCAACTCAAGCCAGCCCCCGAGCAAACACGAGCAAACAAACCGTTGCCGCCGAACGTTAACCGAGCTTCGGCTCGAACTCCAGCAGGAGCGAGCGAGAGAGCGCTAGCCTCCCCTGCGCTTCCCTGCGCCGACAGCGTCGACTGCGCAGGAGCAGCAATAGTATATGCAATTTGCTCGCCTACTAAAATAAAAATAATGACGTCATTAAGCGCACAAATGAGCGGCGCTGCTGCCGATGCTGCAGTCACTGCTAGCTGCAGCGTCGACGCTGGCAGAGCTTATAACTGTTTCTGTTCTGGGGCAGGAGAAGTTGCACACTTGACGAAGGCGCACTCAACGATGGCTCCCGAAACGAGAGACAGAGAGAGAAGAAGAGTAATGGCGAGCGAGAGAGCCCATATGTGTGTGTGTTTGTGTGGGTGAGTTGTAGAGTGAGTGAGAGTGGCTGGCTGTGAGCGGAAAATTGAGCCAAAGACGTTGTTGTTGTTTTTGTTCGTTGGGGTTAGGTTGCGATTTAAAATAATTGCAGATTTGTTTGCTTTTGTAATCTAGAAAATTCATTGGCACATTTTTGATTGGAACGTTTAATTTAGCTCTTAAGTTTGGGATAAAAGTTTTGTGTGAAAATTACTCATACGCCAGGGTGGCTTAAACAGAAGGATAATCTATAAAAAAAATTGCATTTAAGAATCTATTAGACTAGAAAAATCTAAGAATTCTTTGTTAGTAGGTATAGTATGAAAAATACAATTAATTTATGGACTTAAACTTCTTCTCCATTAACTAGACCAGGTACAGTGTCTATGCCATTTGTCACTTGCCACATTCCTGCATCCCCCGCACCCCTTCGTTACCGACAACTATTGCTGGAAATTAATAATTTAAGTGTCAATCCGCAGAGCAAATCCAATGCCAAAAGCTCTAGTCGCTCACAACCTCACTCGAAACTCGAACTTCATGTCCTTCCCACTCCCACTCCACTCCCCCGTTGTGCAAGTCTCACCCACAACTGTCGTGTGCCGGGTCCACTCAACCGCATCTCCCCTTCCTCCCTCCCCCCATTTTATCGCCCGTTCAAAGCGCTTCCAGAAAACCGAAAAGTGCCAATAAATATGGAAACGTTTTGCCTTGTTCGGCCCACTCTTCCGCCCACTGCCTATGCACCCCCACTGCCCCACGTCTTCTGGTCCTTCTTCAGCTCTCTCACTCTATTCTCTTCTATTTTATACACTTGACAAAAATATTTAAGGTTTGTTTAAAGAAGGGTAATCAAAGAGTGCCTTATTAGGACTATTAATGAAGATAATCCTTTATACGATTCTCCAGACCTCCGGTTTATTTTCTAGAATCCTAAATGGAGTATCCTTCATCCTTTAGTTGCAGTGCAGATCCTTGCTCCTTGGCTAACTCTGCACTAATTCACATTTGATGTTTTGTTGTCTGCGCTTGTTGCTGTTGCCGCTTGCATTTTTCTGGTCAATGAGGTTACAGTCAAGTCAGTAGACAAGCCCTCGTCCCCTTGATAGCCCCCCCTCCCTCTGTTTTTTGGAGGGCAGAAGATGCAACAGCAACAGCAGCGACTCGTGCGGTCTTCAACCGGTCGCTGTCGGTCAGTCGAAGCTGCCAAACAGGCTGCCTCTGTTGTTGTGCCTCCTGGCCCGCTGTTGCTGCCCCTGCTGCTCCTTCTGCAGTTGTGGCTGCTTCTGGCCAGTCTAGCCACCCACCCGCCTCGGCTATCGGAGGTGTCGATGACGTCGAAGTCGTCTGGCCAGACCCCTGAAATCAGAATTCCCCTCCTAAGTCTGTTCATCTCCCGCAATAAGCCTCCAAGTGACTGCAACTGCCTACGCCATTGATTAGTTAGGGTATAAAATTTGGTCTAAAGGACTATGTCTCTTACACCTTTTAGAATTTTTAGGTACTTAAAATACCTTGTAGATCTTTATTTTTTTTTAAATATTATAATGGCCTATTACTTCCCTGAGAGCATTCATAGTTCGCACATCTTGTTGGTTTCTAATGGTACCTGATTTTGTTTTTGGCCAATTTTGGTCAATATTTAAGTGCTGCCGTAGCCGAGGCTTTCAGCTTCTATGGGGCAGCACTTCACAGCGCTGTCGGGTAGCATGTCTACGTCTGGTACTCCACATCACCTCATCAACTTAATTTTCCCGAATTTCAGGTCGTCCATCTCGCTGGGAGGGTGGACGCTGGCCCGCACTCGTTCCCACTCTATATAGCTGGCTTTGTCTTTTATGTCTAATTTTGTGCTGCATTTTACCGGCAGCTATAAAAGCGTATTACCGTTAAATGTTGCACCGTCGAGTTGTCGTCTAATTTACGTTACCCTGGAGCTGAAGGCAACCACGAGGATGCAGGATGAGCGAAATGGGAGGTGAAAATTGGTAAATGGGCGGTGGGACGGTGGGACGGTGGAACGGTGAGGCCACTGCCCACTTTCCATCTTGGTCTTGATTGTCATTGCAGCTCGACGGTCTGGCCGGCAAACTGATTAAATTCAGCACGCGCCCTCCAGGCATCTTTGGTAACTTCTTCCCCAGCAAGACGGGTTGGATTTCATCGGGTTAGGGGGGTGTGTGAGCTGGGGCTTCATCAGCTAAGACGGCCGAGAAACTAGACGCTCTACATAAATTTGAAATTAACGTTTTCCAGCATATTGTCCCTCTACCTTTCTCTTTCACTCCTCGACAGTCTGTCTCTCTCACGCTCGGTACAGCCATCCTTGTCTGGGCCGAGAGCTTACATGCTTTCTGTAATTATCATTTGCCATTCTGTCCATTTGCCTTGGAACACACACGCAGACCAGCGTCTTGAGTCGATCTAGACTTGGCTTTCGGGCGTGCAACTCCCACCTCCGCCCATCCGTTCATCTCCCCGCCCACCCCGGAGCCCCAGCTCGTAATTAAATGCAAATCTCCCCTGGTGCCCCGTCCGTCCGTCCCCATCCGTGATCCGTGTCTAATATATTGCCATAGTGCCACGGGGCAAACTGTGGCCACATTTTCAGCAACGTTCCGAAACTTGTCAGCACTGCCTCATGGTGTAGGAAAAAATGAAGTGCACATACTGGTATGTGCATAAACCAAATAACATTAAAATTATCGCCTAGACTGGCCATAAAAGGCATAAAGGTGAGAGATCACCGGAGACACAGGCTGAGGGATACTCTTTCAAGAAGGATATTTGAGTTTTAATGGCTATATCTGGAGATACTAAGATTCTAATGATGATATTGCTGTATCTGTGGGATCTATGCACATTCGAAGATATAGTAACTATAAAATTTATAACGAAATTCGTAGTATCTATTCTAGTATTACCATCATCCAAAATTTCTTTTCCATTTTCCAAAACAGATCCCTTTAAATAAAATTATAAGCCTAGGATTAATTAATCGAAATAAAATATAAAAAAAGAAAGGGCAAAGACCCATGGAAAAAATAATAATATGATAGAGGGAGTGATAGAGCCAAAGAAAGAGACAACAAGCCCATACAGTGACAGAGATAGAGACAATGACTGAGACAGAGAGGGGAGAGTAATTAAGAGCGTGCAAACTTTTTAGCTTCGGTGGACGGGCCTCGTTGAAATGGCTGCTAATTACAAAAGGCATCCTGGCCAGCATCATTTGAGATATTTTTCCATTAACCGGCGACGGCGTCAGTTGGCCATGGCCGTGACGGCCGTGAGGAGAAGGGTGTCCCGAGGGAGGGGACCGTTTGGAGGGGCAGTGCATACAAAACATATTAAAATTAACCTGATTACTCCGCAGGCGCTGCCAGCTCTCAGATTGTGGGATTGGGGGAATCGTGTGTGTGTGTGTGTTTGCGGCTTGGAGGAGTTTTGAAAGCCAGGCACAAACTAATTTCAAATAACATAATTCATTCGCTTAGCCAGCGGGGAAGGGAAGAAGGAGGAGCTTTTGGCGTCAGGGGGCAGGCAAAAGGCAGGAAGAAGGCAGCTCTTCAGTCGAGAGACCACGACCGGTTTTCTTCGGGAGTACCAAATTAGTTGAAGTTTAATCACAAGACCTGAGAGGAGACACAGATGAAAATGGTTACAAATTAAGAATTAAAATAAAAATACCATTAAAAACAAAATTATTCTAAAAAAATTACAAAAAAAAACTAAAATTAAATGGAAAGAAAAGTCTAAGAATTATGTACATGATTAATTATCATTCTACCCATAATGTTAATAGCCTTTAATTAAAATTAAAAACCCTTTCTTTCACTGTAAAGGAAAAAGAATTTTGAAGAGACCAAACAAAGACCCAAGCTGTCATACCAGAAAGAGAGCGACTATCCCATTTAGAAAGAGACCGTCTTGAAAGGAGATTTCTGTGCGAATGCGGAAGGTGCTAACTGACAAATGAACAGTCTCCTGTTCCCGCCAACGAATGCT